CAGTGTTTTCACTTTTTTTATAGGATAGGGTGACAAACGAGCACACAGTCCACCTGATGGTAAGTGGTTGCTGTGCCCATAGACATCTACATTTATCTTCAATTACGAATCAAAATGCAGATGCATTGTCACCCGTGAGGACTAAGATGGAATACCTCATTTCCAGTAAAAAGGGTCTCCAGTTCTCTACACTCACCATACGAAACACAGCAGCATCAAGCTACCATTTCACCGCCGCAGAGAAACCGCTAATTTAAAGTATGGCTTAGGGAAGAATTAATTATAAGGCTTTTTTATATTTTAGGAATTTTGGACATTTCGGGGTAAAATCAACTATAAATAACGGTGGCAGCACTATTTTAACATAGACTTCACCGTTCGTTTGTGGTCGGGGTTCTCCAAAGTATCTATCCTTACACATTATTATTCGATCAATTACTATAATATATAAATTAGTTGGTTGATTTTTTTGTCAATGAGTTTCTCAGTATTTAGCCTTGTTCTATTAACACGTACACAACTAATTTGTTTATTACTTTATATTCTCACCATTGCAACTTTGTCAAAGATAGACCTGTAGAAATTTAATTTAATAAAGATTTAGTATTCCTTCAATTCTCGATTGCTAAACTAACGTTTTGGGAAACTTTGGCCATGGAAGAGGATGATGATAAATCACCGACATCTTTTTGCACGAACAAAGGACCATCAATTAAAAAAACACACGTGTAAAAATTTAAAAGTTCATGGTTGTAGATTCATATTTCAAGAATTGGATGAAACGATTAAATAAAGGTCAAACTGAAACATTGAGAAAAATCAAAAGATAACGTTTTTATTTTATTTCTAACTCCTAAATTAAGGATTTTCGGGGACTAATTTGAGGTGTTTAGGGCAATTTTCAACAAAATCTAGGGCAAAAATAAAACCTGATAGTGGAAACACTGAAGACAGATGTCATTTTAAAACTTAGAATGTAAACAATCTCTAAAATAATGTGAAATGTTTTAATTTTTATTGTTAATTAAGTTGTAAATTAAAATATTATTTATTTAAAAACAAAGTATGAGGCGTAGTTTAGCTCCGAGCCAAATCGGCTGTAGTGACAATGTGTTTAGGAGCCCTCTGCTGAATTCTACTAAACGCAAAAAGCGGGAATGTACGAAGATACCACTAGCTCAAAAATCTCCTTCGCAATGTTTGTCCGCCACAGACCACGAGATACTTATACGACAGATTCTAAATAAACCTTTCAAGGTACCAATTCCTAATTATGTTTCGTCGTATTGTGGTAAAAGTTTAGGGTTAAAAAGAACTCAAGTTCGGCGCGCACTTCACGATCCAGATGAACCCAATGCTTTGGTTTTATTTCGCCCGCCATACATTCCCGAACATGAGAAAATGAAAATGAATGCTAACGATATTCAAGTTGCTGTCGTAGTTGATCCAGTGCTTGGAAATATACTTAGACCACATCAGAGAGAAGGAGTGAAGTTTATGTACGATTGTGTGACTGGGCAACAAATAGAGAATGCTTATGGATGCATTATGGCTGACGAGATGGGTTTGGGCAAAACATTACAATGTATAACTTTATTGTGGACACTTCTTAGACAAAGTCCGTATTGTAAACCAACAATAACTAAAGCTATTATAGTGTGCCCAAGTAGCTTGGTAAAGAATTGGTACAATGAAATAGCAAAGTGGCTTGGTCAAAGAATAAATGCGCTACCGATGGATGGTGGCAGTAAGGCTGATATAACACTAAAACTGCAGCAGTTTATGAACACTTTTACAGCAACTCGAGTTGCAACACCTGTGTTAATTATCTCATATGAAACATTTAGGATATACTCAAATATTTTACATTCATCAGAAGTAGGGTTGGTGCTTTGTGATGAAGGTCATAGATTGAAGAATAGTGAAAATCAAACTTACCAAGCTTTGATGGGTTTGAAAGCAAAAAGAAGGATTCTTATTTCTGGTACACCGATACAAAATGATCTAACAGAATACTTCAGTTTAGTGCATTTTGTAAACGAGGGAATTTTAGGAACTGCACAGGAATTCAAGAAAAAATATGAGAATCCTATTCTTAAGGGTCAAGATGCCTTAGCTACTCCTCAAGAGAGGCAGAAAGCTCAGGAATGCCTACAAATATTAACCTCAATAGTTAATAAGTGTATGATACGTAGAACAAGTAATTTACTTACTAAATATCTACCAGTCAAGTTTGAGCAAGTAATTTGTGTTAAAATGACACCACTCCAAACTCAAATATACAAGAATTTCATTAATTCTGATGCAATTCGTAATAAATTTTCTGGCAATGGTGACAAAAACACTCTGAGTGCTCTATCTTGTATTACCACACTGAAAAAGCTCTGTAATCATCCAGATTTAGTGTATGATAAGATAATAGAAAGATCTGAAGGCTTTGAAAAAGCTAGGGACTTACTGCCGAGTAATTATGATATAAAGGATGTGAAACCTGAATACTCAGGTAAGTTGATGATCTTAGATTGCATTTTAGCAAATTTAAAGACCAATACCGGTGATAAAATTGTTCTGGTATCTAACTATACACAAACACTTGATCTATTTGAAAAGTTGTGTCGTAAAAGATGCTACCAGTATGTAAGGCTAGATGGTTCAATGACAATAAAGAAAAGAGCTAAAGTTGTAGAAAGTTTCAATGACAAAGATTCTAAAGAGTGGATATTTATGCTTAGTTCAAAAGCTGGTGGGTGTGGCTTAAATCTTATTGGAGCCAACCGTTTGATCATGTTTGATCCAGATTGGAATCCTGCTAATGATGACCAGGCCATGGCAAGAGTATGGCGAGATGGACAGAAGAAGCCATGCTATATATACAGATTATTAGCAACAGGAACAATTGAGGAAAAGATTTTCCAGCGTCAAGCTCATAAAAAGGCATTAAGTGATACTGTTGTAGATCAAAATGAGGAATCTTTAAGACATTTTACTTCAGAAGATCTGAAAGATTTGTTCCGTTTGGAGGAGAATACACTATCTGACACACATAGTAAGTTTAAATGCAAAAGATGCGTAAATAATATCCAAGTAACATTACCACCTGAAAATTCTGACTGTACTTCCGATCTGTCTAACTGGTATCATTGTGCTGATAAGAAAAGCCTAGCTGATCTTGTTCTCAAACAATGTTGGGACCTTGCCAAGAGCATATCATTTGTTTTCCATCATCGCTCCGCAGAAACTGAAGCTAAGTTGGAAGAGAAAGAAGAAGACAAAGAGAATATACAGGAAAGAAAGAGAAGAAAGATTGAAATTGATGAAGATTATTCTGAGCCAGATGACAGTGCCGATGAAGATTATGAGTGATACAATAGTTATTGTTATATTTTTAGTGTTATTATTGTATAAGCAGGTCACAAGGTCTTAGACCTGAGCACATAATAGTGCAGTGGCGAGCGTTACTGTATATTGCCACATGACTGGAGCAGTGTGGCAATGCAGCAGCAGTTGTAGATTTAGCATACATAAACACTCTCGCCTGTCACCCAGAGGGGTAGGCAGAGACTACAGACTTCCATTTGGCACGATCCTAACACACCTCTCTCGCCTCCTTCACATCCATACACCAAAGCATACATGCTTGTCGGTTAAGGGTACTCCTAATTTGGCCCGTAGATTTAGCATTTTAAACTAATCTGTATTCTGAACAGTAAAGAAGCACTAAGTTGACTATCTTCCTGCTGTAGCGTTGCCTTGTGTCTACACAACATGTTTTATGTAGATTTTTGTAAAATGTTGAACACATTAGGGTGTTGCTGCTGCTCAAGCTCCATGTTTACATCACAGATCACCATGTGGCCTCTTAATGATTTTGGTATTATGAGAAGAAATTAGGTTTTTGTTTTCATATAATATATATAAGGTAAATTTAAGAACCGTGATAATCAGGTAACAAAATAGTGATCAGGTATAAAAAATGCGGTGTATATTGTTGGAAAAATATATTTTGTACAGACTATTTAACAGAATTATAACAGTGAAAAACAAAACAATTACAATAATTCTACTTGTTTTATTATAAATTCATCTTAGTAATATTTATATAACATATTTGCATTTATATTATGATAACTCATTATACTTTTATACAGATTTCTTTTAACAGTTAAAATTTCCACAGTAGCTTTATAAGTCAGAGCTAAGACACAGTTTACAGAAGAATTAAGGTAGAATAATTGATCTAAATTATATAGGTATAGGAAGGCCCACCCTTGGAATTTTAACCTATTTAACAAAAAAGGTGAATCATTAAAATTGGTTCACAATGGACAAAGTTAACAGATAACATAACATACATACAAAAAAAAACATTCAGTTGAATTAAGAATGTACTTTTTTAAAGTTGACAAATGAGTACAAAAGAAAGGCTAAGTGTGTAATGAAACATAGATGACGCACGATCAGATTTTGCAAGGCTGGGCAGTTGAGGCTAGAGATGTACCTGATATGTCAGGTCTTTGAGCTCTAGTCAGGATTGCAGTCAGATTTTGGAAATGTCAGGCTGTTTCGATTTTTCAATAAAGTACTTTATTGGATTTATCGCGAAAAGTGCACAAAACCAAGAATTGATTTGTTTATTACATTTGCAATAAAATGTCAGGACTTGTCTTTGAGGATCAGATTATTTGTCAGGAATTTTTTTACGTCGTAGCTAGTACAAAGAAAAGACAGTTTCAGTTTAGGATGAATAAAATGAGTTCAGTCGGGAGTCTGTTAATGAAAATTCAGAAAAATTATAAAATCTAGCTAAAACACATTCGGACGTGCACGCGTCGCGCAAAAAAAGAGCAGGATAGACATAAGTCTGCGTTTTACTGCGGACGCAGCTCTCAGCGCAGTCATGTATTACAAAATCTGCAGTGTTCTGCACTGCGTGGGTCTTAACATAAGCTTAGCCTGAGTATATATATATATTAAGTTATTAAAATATATCCTATTTTTTTTTAGCTTGAGCAACTTAGTTTCAGCCCAAATGACCAATTGGGCGGCTGCGAGGAGTATCCTAGTTTCTCAGCCTCTTCATTGACTTCATAAGGGTTTTTGAAAATCTTTAATAGATGTCGCACCTAGAACATAAGATTTTATTCACTTATTAAAATTAATACAGTCTATATCACATGTCTGCGAAATATTATTTTTTCTTATTTCTCAGACATGTAGATTTCCTCACAATATTTCCCTTCACCGCCGAGCATATGGTAAATCAGCACTTAAAATTGCAATCAACAATTTCATTGGTGCCAGCGAGGATCGAACCGTGATTATTTTTTATAGAGTAAGGGTGACAAACAAGCACACAATCCATCTGATGGTACGTGGACTAATCCTCGATTAAAAATCGAAAATGTAGATGCATGAGGATTAAGATGGAATGCCTCGTTTCCAGAGAAAAGGTCTCAAGTTCTAAACTCACCATACCAAACACAGAACCATTAAGCTGCTATTTTATGCTGGTATTCTGTGAGAGTGTGGTCCTACTTCAGGCAAGCCAACCCATTCATGCTACAATCATAATAAAACTGTAGCATAACTCTACCAATGGGTTGCTCGTGTACTGTGAAATTTACAGTGAGTGTTTAGTCCCTGAACTGCCATAGCTCCTCACTTATTATTTTTACTAATTATTATAGTCTATCACTCTTAGCATCGCCCTCCGGAGTGAATTGAAGTGAAGTTCAATACAATTCAGCCATTCCGAAAATTTGCCCGGACAGAGACAAACATTTTAAAAATGGTTATTAACCCCTTCAGCTCAATAAAAAAAATTCATCAAATTTTATTGATACCTATTTTAAATTATATGGAAATGTTACGTCCACAATAGAATTTTCTTTTGCATCATGGGGACAGTTTACATACATAAATTTTACAAGGACAAACATCCAGACCTGGAACAATTATTTGTAGGCAAATACTTGTTCTGTGTGGGATTCGACTCCGCAGCCATTAGCGGTTCAACTCATTGTTAAGCCACTGTGAAACAAACCATTTTATATATTATGTAGATGTCAATGTGTATAAATTAAGTTTTAAGGAAAATTTGTAATACCTAGTATTACCTACTAATATTTTACAAGGTTATTTTAAGATTATATTCATTGTACGCCAAAAAGGCTGGAACACGTCACAACACGACACGACAGTAAGCAACCATTTTTTTTTTTAATACCAACTTCAAAAAGGAAGTATCCAATTCGACTGCATGTTTTTTTTTTTTGTCTTACCTTAGAACTTTTTTCTGGGTAAACTGATTTTGATGTTTCTTTTTTTATTTTAAAGCTGGTGCTTCTCATGTGGTCCCATATAAATTTGATCGATATCTGACCTGTAGTTTTTGAGTTATCCTTAATAATGCGTAATTAATTGTCTTCAAATACATTGATGTTCTCATTTGATTTATATTGAAGTCGGTTGTACATTTTTTTTAATTTTACCACTTGTTACAGCTATATTTACCTTTCCAAAGTCATTCTTCTCAGCGTCAGCTATCGCCTCCTGAAGTATCCAGTTACTCGGCACGTATAAGGGATTTACTTTGAGCATTCGTGTTCTTCTGTTTTCGTCACTCACTGGAAACAAAGCCAGAATGTTGTCTTAACAAAAAGTCTAATTGTCAAGTAATGGTGTATGAACATCCACTACCTCTTATCATCCCTTAGGTGTAAGAAGCGACAGAGGGAAACTTTAACAGAAGATGGGCAGCAGTATCTTTCTGATAACAACTTAAATAATAAAAAACTGTGGTTGCCAACCCGACTGCCAAGCGTGGCAACTATGGCAAATTCCTTCCTATGAGGCAACCTGTGGGACAGGCTTATGTTCAGAGCTGTTATGGATGCATGATGTTTACAGTAAAAAAGAAAGAAGGAGGTTTTTAAAAGTTGTGAGGCATTTCATCTTAGTCCTCGGGGAAGACAAAGCACTTGTGACATTATCTATTAGAAGTTGGTAGCAGTTGTAGTGGTCTACAGTTGCTGTTTCCATCTTGGGGACCATAGAATACTATAATACACAATAGAATGGCTGTCAACCTTATTTTGTACGAGGATAGACGTCGCCGGGAGCACACATAAGCAATAACGTCGTACTATCACTACGACAAACCCGATTCGCTGTGTTGACAGACAGATTTTAATACTTACATATTTATTTGTAAATAGAGTGCAATTTGGAATTTTCTAAATAATTTGCATGGGAAATTTGGAAACGATTGTAACGTGAAAACACATCTCGTGTTGACATTTATACGTGTGACATTTTAGTGGCTACACGGGCTCCGCCCACTCCCCCGTTGTATTATGTATGTATTATAGTATTCTATGTTGGGGACTGTAAAGCTCGTTTGTTATTTTATATACATGTATACTATATTCTATTGTTTTATATACGTGGTTGCATTTTTGTAGTAAACAAAGTATCAAACACATTCAATATTTTGTTAGGCTGTTATTTTATTTTAAAAAGCTTTTAACCGACTTTCAAAAAGGAGGGGGTTCTCACTTCGACTGTAGTTTTTTTATGTGTTTATGTGTGTTACCGCAGAACTTTTTCTAGGAGAACCGATTTTTGATAATTCTTTTTTTATTTGATATCTGGTGCCTCTTATGTGGTCTCCCATAAATTTGATCTAGATCTGACCAGTAGTTTTTGAGTTATCCTTAATAATGCGTATTTAATTGACTTCGACTACATTGATGATGTTCTCATTTTATTTATATTGAAGTCGGTTGTACAATTTTTTTCATTTTACCACTTGTTAAACATAAAGTGGTAAACAGTTAATAAACTGTGCCTGCAAAACTTAATTAGCCATTCTACTATTTCCATATCAATTCGTTTCTTCCATCTTTTTATATAATAGGAACTATAGTTTGTGCGTATTCAACGAGACCGTGGAAGAACCACTCTCTCGCAGAATACCAGTGTAAATTAGCAGTTTATGCTGATGTGTTTCGCGTGGTGAGTGTAGAGAACCGAAGACTCTTTTTACTGGAAACGAGGCATTGCATCTCAGTCCTCGAGGGTGACAACGCATCTGCATTTTGATACTTAATTGAGAATAAATGTAGATGTCTATGGGCCACGGCATCCACTTACCATCAGGTAGACTGTGTGCTCGTTTGTTGACCTATTCTATTTAAAAAAATACTAACCTTTTTCTTGTTCCAATCTGTCTCGATACTTCTGCACCCACTGCCCCCACTGGGAGGCTTTGCTAACCTTCGCTAAAGACCACTTGCTCTCGAGCGTGGTCGCATCTAACAGCTGGGACACTTCCACCTAAAATAATAAAAATAATAGTAATAATTATAACTATTACAACTATTACTAACATTAAATAATAATTATTAGCCTGTACTTGAGTACAAATACAATTTGGTCTCCTACTGTATACGGTGGTCCGAATACTACAATTTTATACAATAGTAAAATTTTTAAGTGTAACTTCCATCTGGTAAGTTTGCTATTTGGTTCATTTATTTATTTATTTATTAGGGACAGCCAACAAATCTTACACCAAAAACATTAAATTCTTAAGCTAATATCTAAGATTTAAGCTAAGTGCAGATTCAATTACAGGCTGCCATGGCACGCAAATGTGAGTGTTTAATGCTTATTTAAAAAGTAATTAAATATAAGAAAAACTAAACTAATCCGAAATTATTCCGTAATGAAAGAAAGTAAATTCATTCATGAAAGATAACCATGGTATAGTTACCGTGTAGTGGTGGTGTAAGAATGTCCACTACCCCATATCATCCCGTGGGTGTCGTAGAAGGCGACAGAGGAAAACAAATCAGGGGATAGACAACAGCTTCCTTATAACGATGGATATATGAGACATTCTATGGGGGGGGAGACATATGTGTAGCAGTGGACTTTAACAGTAGCGGTCACCAGCACCAATATATTTCAAAATACACGAAATCACCTCAGCCAATTGTCTAAAGGTGGACGTGAAGTCAGCCATAGTCTGCTGCATCAGCTGAAGCAGTTCCTTCACCAATGCAGCGTCGCCATCACGGCACTGTTCAAGGCCGAGTTTATTGAGATACGTTTGCCTAAAACATTTATAAAAGTAATATTATATTATAATTCTAACAAAGACATTTAGTGCACAAAAACAAAAACAAAACGACACTGCCTCGACTACTACTCTAATTTTGCAGTGTTTCGTATGGTGAATGTAGTGAACTGAAGACCCTTTTTACTGGAAGCATTCCACCTTAAGCTCCGGCCACACACACCAACTTACATGCCCAAACAATTTGTAGAAAAAAATTGCGCATACAACATGATGCACTGCACAACGTCCACATGGAAACGTCTTGCATGCGCAAACCGATTATACAAAGTTTTCGCAAAAAACATGTATGGCGTCCACACACTTATACACGTACAAAATTAAAAAATACAAATTAATCATTAAGCTGAAATATAGCTGTTTGGGTGTGAAATTAGGTGACATTAAAGTAAATTGTGTGCTGTGTGCTGATGATGCAGTGCTTATTGCACCATCAGAAGCAGAACTGCAGGCATTAGTCACGTGTATGAAAGAGGAATGTGAAATTAAAGGTCTCCATTTGAATGCTAATAAAACTAAGGTTCTGGTATTTGAAAAGGACGAAGAAAGAACGAAATGTGAAATAAGGGTAAATCAGGAATGTCTAGAACAGGTAAATGAAATTGTATACTTGGGGAGTGCTTTCAGCCGCGATGGAAGATGTGATTTAGATGTGGACAGGCGTGTCGCTGCCGGGAACAAAGTCAATGGTGCCCTGAATGCGTTAGTCAAAAGGCAAGGCGTAGTGAAGAGTGCACGCCTTGCAATACATAACGCAGTGTTGGTACCGACTTTGTTATATGGCAGCGAAACCTGGGTATCCCAGAAGAAGCATAAAAGCAAGTTGAATGCAGTGGAGATGCGATCTCTTCGTAAAATGTGCGGCGTTACCATAGCCGACCGAAAGCGAAACAAAGAGATTCCCAATATGGCAGGATTGAAAGATGACTATCACAAAAATTGATAAGGGCGTACTCCGATGGTTTGGGAACGTTGAGCGAATGAGTGAAGACCGAATGGTGAAGAAAATATATAGCGCGAAAGTAAATATTAAAAGGTGTCGAGGTAGACTGAGACTAACTTTCGAAGACCATGTGAGCAAATTACTCGAAGAGAGGAAAGTCAAGAGTACTCGGATACCTAGACGTGCATGTATGAAGAAGATAATGAACCTGAAAGAGGTATGTAAGGATCGTGACACTTCTGTGCGATCTGTTCTCTCTGGCTACCCCGTTAGGGATTGTGTGTGAAGATAAGTAAGTAAGTAATCATTTGTGCAAGCCATTTGCACAGTATACTGTTTCCGACTTAACATACATGTGTAAATTAGAATTTGTGCAAGTAAGATTGAGCGTACAGCCGGACCTTTAGTATTTTTTTAATATGATAGGGTGACAAACAAGCACACAGTCCACCTGATGGTAAGTGGTTGCTGCGGCCCATAGACATCTACATGTGTCCTCGATTACAAAACAAAATGCATATGCGTTGTCACCCGTGAGGACTAAGATGGAATGCCTCGTTTCCAGTAAAAAAGGTCTCCGGTTCTCTACACTCACCATACGAAATACGAGTACAGCAGCATTAAGCTGCTATTTCAGGCTGGTATTCTGTGAGAACGTGGTCCTTCCCCGGTCGAGCCGACCCATTCGTGCTACAACTATACTACTAATATAACTGCAGCATGGCTCTACCACGTATAAAATATAGTCCTCATGGGTATCACATATCTGCATTTTGGTTCTTAGTCGAGGATAAATGTAGGTGTCTTTGGGCCACAGCATTCACCTACAATAAGGTGGACTATGTGCGCGTTTATCACCCTTATTCTATTAAAAAAAAAACTTGTCTTCCCATATTATTGTTTTTATTATTTTATGAAACGGTACCCAATACAGGAAACATCCCACATTAGGATTTTCGCCTGTAATGTATGTGGAGACAGTTTACAAAAAAGTATTACACAAAGACAAACATCCAGACCCGGTACAATTGTTTGTCTATTTATTCATTTAACACTAAGGGTGTGTTCTGAAATAGCAGTATACTGGCCAATGCAAATGACGTCATAAACCGACGCCATACTGGTGATTCGTTTCAAAACATTGGCCAGTATATGACATCATACATTTGCGCCATATTGGAAAAGTGTTGGCGATTATTTTATGTCATTTTGTGCTCCAAAGTTATTATATCCTGTTTCAATTAATATGTGAAGAATGGAGATACCAGCGATAATCCTATATTTTATTGTATTTGAATAAATAAAAACAAATTCTGGCACCCTTCATTGAGCATACACACAATTAAAAATTGATTTAATATGGCGGGATATCCGACACAATATGGAGCGGGGCGCCAGTACATACAGTAATGTCAATTATAAGTCAACCAAATCTAAGAAATACCTTTTGACGTTTCACATTAATCATTCCGCAATAACTTTGCGCAAGTGTACTCACACGATTTAAAAGAACCTTTTACGTAAATCCAAAGATATATAAAGTTATCCATATTTTATCACAACTTGTATAATTTATTATCACTAATTTAAATTCGAATCTTTTAATCAAAGCAAAATATCGAAAAAATAAGTAGTATCAATTATTTTACTTGACGTCGTTTCAATGATATGTCGCTATGAACCTTAACCTTACCGTAGTGTTTGGATGATTAAAATGTATTGTTATGCGAATAATCGGCAAAAATATTCACATAATCGGTAAAAATATTCAAATAATCGAATCGTTAATTTCTTTAATTTATTAGTACCTGGATGACCTGGATGGTTTTTTTTTGAAATTACACTAAGACACAAATTACATACTGATGAAACATGAATAATATTTTTTGATCTTATTAACATAATAGAAAAAACTGAACTGGTTATTTAAATAAAAAATCACGAGTACAATTAGTTTTATTAAAATTTTCGTATTTTTAAAAAATACTAAAAAAAGGGCTCGAAATAATAGATTTTCTCACAAAAGAAGGGAACTTGAAAAAAAAAGGACTGAAGACAGGACGCGAACCAAGGCATTACGATTTCGCGACCGCTCGATATCCACTTGAGCTATTACGATCATTGACACAGTGTCAAAATTTACCTTCTTATATTGTAGCAGTTTTTCAATGCCTGATAACACGGACAAAAAGACATTCTAAAAATAAATCCTAGCTAGATCGATTTATTGCCCCGAAACTCCCTGGACACTAAATTTTATGAAAATCGTTGGAGCCGTTTGCGAGATTCCGATTATATATACAAGAATTGCTCGTTTAAAGGTATAGGATTTGTTTAATTAAATTTCAAATCATATACAAGGCCGCGCTAAAAAAACCACTACGTGATTTAAATCTTATCATTTCGGGAGCTTACAATTAAGTAATTTCGTGATTTTGTGTTTGTCTTCTTATTTTGTGACTCGGCTTGAACTTTTTCTTCTATATTCGTTTTTAACTGTTTCTTCTATATTCGTTGAAGCATGTCCCCATGTCACAGAGAATGATTGGGCAAAATTGGTAGAAAAAAGAAGAAAAAATGGAATAGTCTTTGAATGAGTATTGACTGCATTATTGAAAACCAAATGATAATTAATCCAAACAACTACAGCTCAGCTAGTTGTACTGAAAGTTATTGAATAAATTTATTTTTAATCTAGTTTCAATCGATTTTTATAACTGTGCCTCTAGAAATAAGGAGTATCAACAAATACAAAGAAACTGTTAAATCTTGTGTTTTAAATTATCCGTTTCTTATTTATTCTGGTATTATTCAAACCAAGCTGTTAATGATTACCAACTCTAAATAATCGATATCGATTTTTTTAAGAATCGAATATTGTACGTTCTCATTTTTTGGTTGGCGTGCTTGGTGCAAAAAGTCTGACAGATGTCAAAAGGTATTTCTTAGATTTGGTTGACTATAATGACGGTATTTGCATTCGTCAGTATACTGGGAACATTTCGGAATACAGCCTATTTAACACTATAATAAGCTACAAACGGCGAACTTAATGACACATGGTATTTTTAAAAGCCACCCGGATATCAAGCCCAACGGATTAGTATGCCAGTGGCAATGGGCTGGCCATATACATATATAGTTCGTAGAACCGACAACTGATGCGCTCTCCCAGTAGTTTGAGTAACGACCTGGTAAGACATGCAGGAAGTCGATGGATGCAGGTGGCTCAGGATCATGCTTGTGGCATTCCTTGAGCGAGGCCTATGTTAAACAGTGGACTATAAATGCGCTGTAATGGTGATGATGATCTAATTGAAAGCTTTTGATGTAAGGTTCAAATATCTTAAATATATACAGAGCTCACCTCAGTTATTCGGGCGTCCCGGGCAAGAAAATATTGTGTATGGTACATATAAATATTATCTATCTATAATATAAAAAAAAAAAAAAAAAAATATAAGGGGGTGTGTGTGTGTGTGTGTGTGTGTGTGTGTGTGTATTTAAGTGTATATAGCGTATGTATGTATATATATTGTATTATATATATGTATATCTGTTGTATATTATATATAATATTATTTTCTTTTATCCTCTCTATTTGCTTATAGCTGCACCGCTTCCAAAATGTCTATCTCTGTTTAGTCTAATGGTTGACTGGGAGAGAATGCCCTATGGTATTAAGTCCGCCATATGTACTACTTAGTGCATGAAAGTATAAATAAATAAAATTTGATCCCTCCTTTAATTTAATAAGCCCGTGCATGACTGTAATTCTAAATGTAGTGAAATGTAATTGCCATTATGTTTACTGTTTTCTATTAGCGTCAAGTTAGTAGAAAGTCAACTTGGCGTAGCGCACTAAGCAGACAAGTGTGGGACGCGATCAGCGGAAGTGGGAGGAGGCAATCGGCGAAAGTGGGTGATCATCGACAAACTTTCTGCGGCTTATTTTTTTAATCTTTATTTTCACACAAACAGTCGTTAACAAGAATTTTACATAAACTTAACGTTATACCCAAAAAACATATACCCATACATTTCATACTTATCTTACATTATTACTAGAGATGAAACGGATATCCGGTAACTATCCGGTATTCGGTCTATCCGGACTGAAATTGCTATCCAGCCGGATATCGGATAACAAACAGCTACCTTGCCGGATACCGGATTTAAAAAAAATCAAATTTAGTTAAGTACTTCATTTATGTCACTTAAAAAATCACAAAATTTTCATTTTAAAACTTTCAAAATCAGTACTCGTACTGCGCTAAGGCACAGAATAAATAAGAGTACTACGTAGCTAAGGGCAAATCATGGTGAATAAATATTAATTTCTCTGCATTGATAGGTAACAAGCGGTTTCGCCTGTCTTCATAAACAAGGCCAGCTAAAAAAAAGTCTTTCTCTGTATACACTGCTTTAAGGTGCTGAAAGATAGATTTTGGCAAACTTTGATAAATTGTGTAGCAATACCTGCTGACAAAATATAAGGGTTACGATCGCGAACAGTTTGCACTGACTTTACTTTTCGCTTCTTGCGATGCACCAAACGGCAATGTTCGGCAGAATATCCGGCGGCCGGATATCCGGCTATCCGGCGATAAGACTGCCGAATATCCGGTATCCGGTATCCGGCCAAAACAGCTATCTGTTTCATCTCTAAATATTACTCTTAAATCTAAGCCTTTTACTTCCTATGCTTTACTTACATACATTATTTGCCGCGTCATGGATACTTAAGCAGTCATTAACACCTCTCTCGTCCCGTGCATGTCGTAAGACTAGAAGCGGTATATACTACAGTCTATACTAGAAATTCCTAGACCGACGGCGACCGGAGGCAGCATCATATAGAAAATATTTTCTAAAATGATATTTTACTTACGTGATCTTCTCCCTAACATAAGCTTCTAAAGGTGCTCTTATATCGTTTATCTTCTTCTTCTGATCGTCTGTCAGTATTGGAGCGAGCGCTTCTGCGAACTTCTCCAGGTTCCAGAGGATTATCTGGAACAATTGGAATCCGATATGCGAAAAAAGAAATAACACACTAACGCTCTAACACGCACGCACGCACGCACACGTACGCACGCACTCCTCTCTCATATGATCACTATTTTAAAAATTATATTTAATTATTCATTTTTACTTATAAAATTACAATTGCTCAGTAAACATGAAAAACAATAAAATCGCTGAGCCTGTGGCAACCACGAGTAAGCATTTTGCCATCTCGGATGCCTTTTCGTTGCTCCAACCCACTGTTTGTGTATTTAGTTAGTTGCGTTATGTTCATCATCATCATCATTATAGTCCTTCACAAGTCCACTGCTGAACATAGGCCTCCCCCAAGTAATGCCACAAAGCACGGTCCTGCGCCACCTGCATCAATCGACTTCCTGCATATCTTACCAGGTCGTCACTCCATCTAGTGGGGGGTCGCCCTACACTACGCCTACCGGTACGAGGCTGCCACTCGAGAACCTTCCTTCCCCATCGGTTATCGGTTCTTCGAGCTATATGGCCGGCCCATTGCCACTTCAGCTTACTAATCCGTTGGGCTATGTCGGTCACTCTGGTTTTACTGCGTATATCCTCATTTCGGAGTCTATCACGCAGAGAAACTCCGAGCATAGCCCTCTCCATAGCTCGCTGAGCGACCTTGAGCGTACTCATGCGGCCAGCAGTAAAGGACCACGTCTCAGATCCGTAAGTCATCACTGGCAACACGCTCTGGTTGTATAATCTAGATTTTAGATATTGAGGTATACCTGACGAGAAGATATGTCGTAATTTCCCCGAACGCTGCCCAGCCGAGTTGAATCCGTCGATTGACCTCTCGGTCGAAGTTGGACTTACCTAGTCGGACTATTTGTCCCAGGTAAACGTACTCGTCAACAACTTCGAGCATAGTGCTCCCAACAACTACCGGCATAGGTGTGACATGGACATTAAACATGATCTTTGTTTTGTCCATGTTCATCTTAAGACCTATCCGTTGGGAGGCATTATTGAGGTCATTGAGCATAGTGCTTAAGTCCTCCAGCGATTCTGGCATAAGGACTATATCGTCGGCAAATCGAAGGTGAGTGATGTACTCGCCATTGATGTTAATACCGTATCCTTTCCAGTCCAGTAGCTTGAAAACGTCCTCCAATGCAGCGGTGAAGAGTTTCGGGGATATAACGTCACCCTGTCTTACACCTCTCTGCAGTTGGATAGGTTTCGAGCTCTGGTTCTGTACTCGGATAGCCATCGTAGCCTTACTGTACAAACACTTCAGAAATTCGATATACCGACAGTCTACTTGGCACCGCTGAAGGGACTGTAACACCGCCCAAATTTCGACGGAATCAAAGGCTTTCTCATAGTCCACATACGCCAGGCAAAGTGGCAGATTGTACTCTTCAGTCTTCTGTACAATCTGCCGCAGGGTATGTATATGGTCTATGGTACTGAAGCCTTTTCGAAAACCGGCTTGTTCGGGAGGCTGGAAGTCGTCGAGTCTGCGTGCGAGACGATTCGTAATGACTCTCGAAAACAGCACGTAGACGCGGCTCAGAAGGGAAATCGGTCTGTAGTTCTTCAAGAGAGCGTTGTCGCCTTTCTTAAAGAACAAGACCACCGCACCTCTGCTCCACGCCTCTGGAGTAGTGCCACCATGGAGGACGGAATTGAAGAGCTTCTGAAGGACTTCAAGTACCGGTGTTCCACCCGCTTTCAGAAGCTCCGCTGTAATTCCATCCTCGCCTGGGGCCCTGCCGTTTTTAAGGTGCTGGAGAGCCATTCTAATCTCGCTTAGACTGACGTCCGGGATATCATCGGAATAGTGTCGGATAAGACTTGCTCTTGGATCGTTACTCACACTTGCGTGTGGCTCCAACGATGATGTGTACAGCTGCCCATAGAACCTCTCAATCTCACTCAAAATCTCAGGTGTCCCGGAAACGATGCTGCCAGTCTTCAGCCTTGACAGTTTGCTCTTACTGGCAGACAGATCTCTGGCAAAGACTTTGGAGCCCTGGTTCCGCTCGATCGCTTCTTTAATACGAGCAGAATTAAAGTTGCGTAAGTCTCGCCGCATGCATTTGGAGATCTGTCTGTTCAGTTGCCTGTATGCTGTCAAATCTGTTGACGATTGCAGCCTCATCTCCCATCTAACAGCCATGAGATTAAGAGTGTGATCGGAGAGTTTTTGTGTTCTTCTGCGGCGGGTCTTGCAGAAGTTAGCTCCGACCGCATGGACAGTTTCCACGAGCTTGTCATTCATATCGTCCACTGCATTGAAATCTTGTAGGCACTGAAAGCGGTTACCTAACTCGAGCTGAAAGTTTTCGGGATTCTGGATTAGAGCACGAGGGGGACGGAGCGTTGACTTCATTAGACGAGACCTCTCCAACTTAACGTTTAGGTTCAGTGTGCCTCTAACCACACACGTGATCGCTGCCAGTTTTCACCCTTGCGATCACTGAAACATCACTGAACAGTTGGCGTCTGGTCGTCATAATGAAGTCAATCTCATTTTTTGCCGAACCGTCGGGGCTCGACCAGGTCCACTTCCTTTGGGGCCGCTTCTGGAAGAAAGAATTCATCATAAAGAGTCCCTGTTTCTCCATAAAGTCGGCCAGCTGCTGGCCCCTTCAGTTCCGTTGCCCTACTCCAAATTTCCCTAACTTCAGCTCACCGTTTTCTCTTGTGCCTAGTTTTGCGTTGAAGTCTCCCATCAACACCGTGTAGTGGGTTTTGGAGGAATGCATGGCTTTGGAAATATTAATTAAGTGCGTTATATTGTGTGTAACGATTAAATCATTAATTGAATTGCCGTACAGAACTATTAATATTGTGTGTGAAGACAGAATTAACATTGCGTTTACGAGGTAGAGCCTCGATTCAGCTATATTATGGTTTTAGCAAGAATGGGTCGGCTCGGCCGGGGAAGGACCACGCTCTCACAGAATAGCAGCATAATGTTGTGTTTTGCATGATGAATATAGAGAACTGGTGACCCTTTTACTTGCTACGAGACATTCAATCTTGGCCCTCAGAGTGACAACGCATCTGCATTTTGGTTCTTAATCGAGGATAGAAGTAGACGTCTGTTGGCCACAGCATCCACTTACGACCAAGTGGGCTGTGTGCTCGTTTGTCACCCTTATTTTATAAAAAAATTGTAACCATATTTAAATCACCGCAAAAAGTGGAGACCGAGATACTAGAAAACACGGTATACTGTATTCTATCTCATTCTCTCGCAGGCTGCATCCTATAGATGTATATGTTTGTCCCTTTTTAGACGACTTTTTCACAACGATTCTACAGAATTTTTCACTTCAAGTTTTTTTTACATAATAAGGGTGACAAACGAGCACACAATCCACCTGATGGTACATCTATCCTTGATTACGAATTAAAATGCAGATGCGTTGTCACCCGTAAGGACTAAGATGGAATGTCTCCTTTCCAGCAAAAGGGGTCTCCGGTCCTCTACACTCACCATACGAAATACAGCAGCATTAAGCTGCTATTTTACGCTCGTATTCTGTAAGAGCGTGATCCTTCTGCGGTCGAGCCGACACATTCGTGCTACAACCATAATATAGCTGCAGCGTGGCTCTACCACGTATGCTTGATATATAAAATACAAGAACTATACGTACACCGGGCTGCTTGTTGAAGGCGTACCTCCCCGCATCATCAGAAGTATTGGGCACATAGTGTTCGTAGTAGTGTTGCACGAAACCGAAGGGACCGTAGTCAATGGTCAAGCCCAACACGCTGATGTTGTCCGTATTTAACACTCCGTGCGTGAAGCCCAACCCTAAAACAATTTTTAGTTACATAAGAAACTCAGATATCTAAATGGAGATCCAGATAACATACTCGAACATAAGTTGTACATTATTAGGTATATCAATATATACTTTTATACTGCATTTAATTCGAAAACTCGGTATAATAGGTATATCTACCGGCTATATATTCTTTCAGAGATACTTCACATTACTTTAACTTTAGCATGTTTTTTCTCTGTGCTTATTATGTAATGGGTCGTTTTGACGGCTTCGTGGCGCAGTGGCACCTGGGGGCCACGGCCTCGAATCCTGCACGGAACAAGTATTTGTATATGGTCTACAACTTTGATTATATAGTGTCTTGATGCCATATTGACCCTACCGAACGGCCCAAAATTGGTAGACTCGCTTCTCACTAACGTCAGTGTCATTTGAATCACTTAGGGATAACGTGCTTACGAAAAATAGTTAATTATGCCGATTTGTGGTGTTAAATTGTGTCGCAATTATGTGGAAAAACGTATAATAACACCAAGATCACTTTTCATCGGTAAGTTAACACGATTTTTTAATTCGTTACTTTGAAGAAAGAAAGAAAGAAAGAAAGAAATGCATTTTATTCCCGTTTAATCATGCAGCATAACAAGTAGAAAGTAATTAAATATCAAAAGAAAATATATAAAACTATATATATAAATAAATAAAACTAAATTAAAAGTATGTAACATCATTACAAATTTAAGAAAACATTTAAAAATACCCTGCGCTGCAGCAAGAAACCGTGAAACGGACCGGACTCAGTTATAGCAAATGTTTTCAGTCCAGCCCTTACCCAGAGGCAGCTCGGGCGGCTGAGTGCACGCTCGCTCTTGATGTAATATGCATACCCAGATTTATATATAATTGAACTGACAGAAGAATTAGCCGTTTTTTCCAAAAAGGATACGTATGGAAGCAATATCCACAGTTTTGTATTATTAAAAAAATAAAATAATAACTAAGGTAAATAAACACACAACTCGTATAAGAATTATTAAATTATTTTAAAAGAAAGAAAAGAAAAAAAGAACAAAACAAATAGGCTACCCACATTATATGCTGAGTTTCAATGTTGCTATATTTACATTTTTTAAATACAGGATTTAGTGTAATTTAAAGTGCCAAACCGCTCGGTGTCTATGAAATACAGTTACATTACTGGTAAATTCATTTATCGTTAATTTAATAAAAATAGCTACATTAAAGAATTATCAAGTTATTTATACCTATATTCTACGTCTTAACCAACGTTATTTTGTTCATTGATTAGTAGTAATTTATATTTGTTTTTAAAACTATTAATGGTTATAAGGCTACGCAAGGGAGGTGGCAGATTGTTCCAACACTTTGTTGCATTGTATTTAAAACTTCCTCTGAATACAGTAGCGGCTAAAAACATATACAAATTTTTGTTCAACTGATCCGAGATAATGTGTATTATTGTGATCTTTGGCCCAATCAAGCTTATTGTATAGATATATTGTAGGTTAGTCTGATTAGCCGGTGTTGTCAGTTTATTTATTAATAGGGAGTTTTGGCGAAACTGTGGAAGACAAAATACAAATATTATTACATCATCCTTCAATCAGGAGAACATTATTATTTTAAAAATTACTTTATTTATTTGATCAGTAAATGTTAACTTACCTACACAAAATAAATGAAACCCATGACGTCATGCACTAAATAGTATTTTTGTTATAGTTCTTTCAAATATTTTGGGTTTCAGATTTCCTACGAATTTCATACTAGCAAATTACTGGAGAGACATTAGACAGCGGACAAGAAATGAAGACAAGTGGAAAAGTCACAAGACTTCAGTCGTACTATAGATATTAGATTTAAATTTTCTGGATGTTTTTAACTAATTGGGTTTCAAAATCTTGAGTTATTTTAAGCTGATTTTTATTGCTAATTTTTCGATTAATTCTGTAGTGCCCTGCTATTAAATATTTAGTTGTCTTATTTTAATATTTATGTAATTTTTGTTTATAATTGAATCACTGTGTTGGCTCGCTATTTAATTACTTAGCTTATGTTTTTTTTAACTGATAGTTCAGTACAATTGTTTTTTTGTTATTTAGTACTGATTATATTACGTAAACAGTTAACTGGTGGGATGATGTTTAATGATTTATTACTATTTAAGTCATTGTTTTTTTATATCTTGGTAGTATTTTTGTTATATATACTATTACTGTATTATTGATAAATATTTTTTATTTGATATCGTATTTTTATATATTTTTATTTTATTTATTTTTATATTGGGTATATTATGCTTTTAACTTATCATGTCTGACTCTGACTCTTTTTATTCTATTGAGTCAGAGAGTTCTTTTGAATCTTTTGACGATCAGATGAATTATAGTGTGCCCTCTTTAAGTAGCCAATTGAATAGCATTTTTCACTTTTTTGATAGAACGTTAAATGTTTGCCATATCAATGCACAAAGCATTCCCAGCCACTTTTCTGAGCTAGAAGCATCGTTCTCTAACAACAATATACATGCTATCTTAGTTTCAGAAACTTGGTTGAAACCGTCTTTAAATTCGGCATTGTATCCTCTTCCTGGGTTTGTGCTGATTAGGAATGATCGTATAGATAAAGGAAGAGGTGGAGTTGCAATATATCTCCACGCTACAATTTCTTACAAAATCATATTAGCATCCCCTTCTCCTCACACTGCTTCCGCAGAATTCCTTTTTATAGAACTTGATGTAAAGGGCTCAAGGATGATTCTTGGAGCAGTGTATTGTCCTCCTTCCACTGACTTCTGAGTACACTCACTGCATAATCATGGGAGATTTCAACACGGATTTACTGAAAAATTCAGTCCGGTCTCAAAAACTTCGTAAAATCATTGAGTCTGTCAATCTCAACATTCTTCCTTTAAAGGCAACTCATCATAATATCGACACTGATGACTCTCTGATTGATCTCATTATATATGACTCCTCTGACAGGGTGCTGTCATATGGGCAACTTGAAGCGCCGGAATTTTCCCGCCATGATCTTATTTATGTATCATACAACCTTAAACCTCCCAAATATCAACCTACTGTACTATTCCTACGTAATTTTAGTATAATTAATATGGATAAGCTTTTGAAAGACGCATCGCTTTTAGATTTTACGCCATTAGCAACTGCATCAACAGTAGATGATAAAGTAACTATTTTCAATAACATAATTCATGTTTTGTATGATAACCATGCTCCTGTACGTAAAGTAAAACTACGACGGCCACCAGCTCCCTGGATGACTGAAGAGGTACGGAAGGTCATGACTAGGCTAAATCGAGCATTTGCGCGGTTCAAGAGGAGCAGATCTGAGGAAAACTGGTTGTCTTTTAAGAAGGCCAGAAACAGATGCAATCAGATGGTACGTTCTGCAAAACGCCGATTTATCCATAGCAATATAAGTAATTCTTCGCCAGCTGATGTGTGGAAATTTCTTAGTTCTCTAGGTGTGGGCAAAACACCCTCTTTGGATTGTGGTCTATCGCTTTCTCACGATGCTTTAAATCTTCATTTTGCTTCTCCTTCTGCGTTGGACCTTTCAATCCGATCCCAAACAGTCGCATACATAGCCTCAATTCCGTCTCCGCACATACCAGTCTTTCTTTTCAACCCTGTAGGTCAGGATGAAATCAGAAAGATCCTTCTGGCAATAAAATCCAAGGCTGTCGGTTGCGATGATATTAGCAGAGCCATGATTGTTAATATTCTAGAACACATTATCTCCGCAATCACTCATATTGTTAATTTTTCGCTTGACTCGGGTCAGTTTCCGAGTCAGTGGAAAAATGCTTTCGTTAGACCCCTTCCTAAAGTATCCAAACCTACACTTCCCAATCACTTCCGTCCCGTATCAGTTTTACCTTTCCTATCTAAAGTGTTGGAGGCCTGTGTTCATAAGCAAATTTCCAATTTCATATATAAACATAACCTGCTGAGTACTTTTCAGTCCGGGTTTCGTCCTGGTCACAACACTACAACTGTCTTACTTAAAATAACTGAAGATATTAGAGAAGGAATGGAAAACAAGAAAGTTACAGTTGTGGTGCTCGTTGACTTTTCTAATGCTTTTAACACAGTTGACCATGGTATCCTTCTTGCTATCCTTTCTCATTATAGGTTTGCACCGTCTGTCCTGGAATTGTTCTCATCTTATCTTCGCGGACGTCAACAGTCTGTCCACGTGGAGCAAATGACTTCACAGTGGGTTGACCTGATTTCTGGCGTACCGCAAGGCGGTATACTTTCTCCATTAATCTTCTCTATTTTTATTAATTCCATCATATCTAATATTGACTGTTCGTACCATCTGTATGCTGATGACCTACAAATTTATGTACAGTCTAACATTTCTGACATCCATTATGCGATTAACAAATTGAATTCAAATCTCAAGTCAGTCTGTGATTGGTCTATGCGCTTTGGAGTGTCTGTCAACCCTACGAAACCAAGCGGTGATTGTGGGTAGCTCAAGGATGCTTGCTAAAATAGATGCCGCTAGTCTACCTCCCGTCTATTATAATGATCGTCTGATACCGTTCTCTCCCTCAGTTAAAAATCTTGGTCTACATATTGATAGTACTCTGTCCTGGGGGGTTCATACCTCCGAAACATGTCTCTGTGTGTCTCTGGTTCTTTACGTTCTCTTTATCGATTGAAAAAATTTCTCCCTTTTAAGACTAAAATTATGCTTGTACAGTTACTTATACTACCAATCATTGATTATGCAGACGTGTGTTACCCGGTTTTAAACCAAAAGCTAGAGCGCCTTCTCAACAATTGCGTCAGATACATTTTCAATCTCCGTAAATTTGATCATATTTCTCACTATCGCTCTCGCCTAAAATGGCTCACTATTAAACAGAGGTGTGACTCTAGAATTTTGCTTGTTCTTTTCTCTATCTTAAATAATCCATCCACGCCTTCTTATCTGAAGGAGAAATTTCAATATATTTCCCTAACGCATGATAGAATTCTGCGTTCCTCATATAATAATAAACTAAGTATCCCTCTACATTTTACTAATTTTGTTGGTAAATCCTTCACCATTCAGGCTGCACTGCTCTGGAACTCCTTGCCCGATGACGTCAGAAAAACATCTAATAAGACTGCCTTTAAAAGATTGGTACATAAGCATTTTATGAAAATATTAGATGATAGTTAATATGGTTAATTTTGGTTACCTTTGTTGTTATTTTATTTATAGGTTTATATTATATATCTATTTGTATTTAAAATATGTATATATTTATGTATCTATGAATATGTATGTATATATTATATATTATCTGTATTATATTTTGGAGTATATAAGTTTATTGTATTTGTATATATAATATTAGTTTGTTTTTAAGTTTATCAGTAGTTTTTTTTCCTTGATTTACTCTATTGTTCATTTTATTTCGTCACCTATCACATAATTTCCACATGTCCCGGGTTGACTGTGAGAGAATGCCTAATGGCATTAAGTCCGCCCTTTGTAATCTTTTTATGGTGCAATAAAGTGTAAATAAATAAATAAATTAAACATAAGAGTGATTATATTGAATAAAAAAGTTTCAGTTTCTGTTTCATAAGCACACATTAGCAATGTCGCATGTTATATTATGTATAATATTAGTATCTATGTTTTATGTTTTCCTTTTTTATTTATGGAATAAAATCTTGTCAAATATAGGAAGGAATAGACATGTGTCAATCACAAATGATTCGTTCGTTTGAGCTGGTAAACTTAAAAGTATTGATTGTTCATTCATCTGTTTTTGAATGTTCCCGTACAACAAATCACAAAAATAATTTCTTATATTTACGCGAACACTACACATTGAAATAATACTAGTTTTTACGGAATTTATCGCGTATATTTAACTTTTTAAATTCCCGACGTTTCGAGAGCTTTACAGCAACCATGGCCACGGGAAGGACTGAGATGTTCAACGTCCAGATGTCATATTATATAGATGTCACGTTAACCGCGGTTCCATAGATTAAAATTTAACTTTTGTTCCGATCTACACATTATTTAAAAGGTTTGTTCCGATCTACACATTATTTACACGGTATTTAAAAAGTTAAATATACGCGATTCCGTAAAAACTAGTATTATTTCAAAATCACAAAAAATTGACGGAATCTTTTTTAACTGTGAATTGTGACAGTCGAAAACCGACCAAATCCCGAATGATCTGAATGAATTGTTTTAGTGTAGGGTACTGGAGCCCGAAATGATCAATTTGAATGATCGATCCGAATGTACCGGTACGCGTGACGAAATATACTAAAATGATTCGGTCGAGAAATGAATGATTGACACATGCCTAGGAAGGAACTAGCTCATGTCACTCAGGTTAACCTTTTACAGGAGCTAAGGTGTCATTGATATAATATGTATAAATAGCTGTATTTTGTAAAAATAAAGTTTACTTCATTTTGCATTTACCTTGCCAAGTCGCGACCATATCCAGATTTCGGTAAGCCACTTCCAAATACAACTTTACATATTTGTCGGGGTCATCTATCGCGACATCAGGGAAATGGTGCTGAAATAAACTTAAATATTACGATTTTAATTTCAATAAAAAACATCGTCTGAAAAACTAAAAACACATTTCAAGGGGGTGTGAATTTCACAGATTTAGTCGTAGTTTCCACGCTTGGTAATTCAGTTTTATATGATTTTTAATTTGTTACCACGAAGATGCTGTTTTTGATCCGATGCGACGCTTTTTACTGGAAACTAGGCATTCCATCTTTTGAGGAATGAGGAAAAACAAAATTGAGGATAAATTTAGATAGCTATGGGTCACAGTACCACCTACCATTTGGTGGACTGTGTGCTGACTGACCCTTATTATATAAAAAAAATACTCAGTAAGTAAATATAGACGCTCCATATAGTAACACATGGACCGTTAGTCACCTCTGAGGCTCTGAGCTGAAAACCTGCTTTTACTCTGTTAGCCATAATATTTGTGTGGTGTTGGTGCAAAAGGGTCTATTACGAAGATCGAAAGAAGAATCTTCATATTTTTGTGACAGTTTGGTAATACTTGCCAATGACCAAAAATCTATCTCTTTGTTTTGTAGGTATCGTACAAGATATCTATAAGAAAACACCAGAAAAATCGTGTGCCCTTCATTAATACCATCTCGATTACAACACAACAAATATCCAGAACTGGTGATGACGATGTTCTAAATCAAACAAAGCGGGAGTTTGATATTTGCCAAACTTAAATCGCCAATACATCTGTAAACTTGTCGCTTTAGAGACAATGCTCGAGAGTTCGAAACACGTTGGCAAACAACACATCCAAAACTTAAATACAACATATTATCACAATTGACCGCCTTGTTGGTCTAGTCGTCATAAACGCGGTTGCGGATCATGGAGTCCCAGGTTCGAATTCCAGGTCGGGTTGAAAAATTCTCAGCAGCAGTGCGGAGTCAGAAAATTGACAGTGCTTCACCCACTTGCTTCGGAAACCACGTAAAGCCGTTGGTCCTGCGATTCTGGTCGTGTCGGTTTGTCGTCCCATCGGACTATGAGAGTTAGGGAATAAAGAATAATCCGGTAATCCGTTTCCGTGTCTCCGTTTTATCTGAATGAGAGCAAATCTGCTAACAATTGTTCAGCTTTCCTAAGCTAAGTAAGGAGTGCTAAACAAACCACTTGTTAGTCGGTTACCTTTATAACGAAGTCAGCCAGCTGTTTCATAGTGTGGGGTTCGTTCCTCTTCAAGAGTATCTCGAAAGAGCCGAGTCGGTACCAGGCCGGTGCGAGTCGCATCACAACCGCGGCGCGTTCCTCTCGCATCGTGCCGCAGTATGCTCTGTCGCGCCACACTTTGTGATCGTCGCTCACTGTTCAGAATATTCGTAACACAAACATAAAGTGGTATACTATAACTAATACAATAAAAAACAAAACAAAAAGGAATAAAACTATTATTTACGGATTTTATCGCGTTTAATTACTTTAATTTATTTTTATTATTATCCCGACGTTTCGGGTGCTATTCCTACCAAGGATGATACGCGAGGCTATTGAAATTAAAAAACATCCAAATTTCAATAGAGAAGATGGTTGGGTGCTACCATCTGCTTGGGATCCTATAATTAACAAAATTAAACACAAACCCAAGCATACCACTGCAAGACTTCATGATACTATAAGCTCGTTTTGCGTAAATCGGACCCAAAATTAATATTAAAAAAAAACTGAAGGTAACCGGACACTATGACATTGGGACGTCAAACATCTCAGTCCCCCCCCCGTGACCATGGGTGCTGTAAAGCACCCGAAACGTCGGGATAATAATAAAAATAAATTAAAGTAATTAAACGCGATAAAATCCGTAAATAATAGTTTTATTCAATGTGTAGTGTTCGCGTAAATTTAAGAAATCATTATGAAAACAAAAAGGCTTTGAAAATATTAGGAACACTTCGAATAATCAACTTAAAAAAACTAACTACACTACACCATACTAAAATCGACTAAAATATTTACTATTATGTCAACTTTCAAAATGGTGCCGACATAACAGCGCCCTTTTGACACTTTATTATTTGATTGACTGATGAAGAGCTATCGTATCAAATAAGGCTGTAGTTTTTGAGTCATAAGAAAGTGACCATATTAGAAGGATGACCATATTACCCTCACATACTATATGAATACCTAGAAAATGTAGCTTGATTGCTGGTTTCTATTCTATTTAGTAGCAATCTACTTAAATTGCGGCGGACCTCGATAGTCTTTTCAAAAAAACACAATTTAAAATATAAAATGATTAAATATTCTGACTAAGGTGGTTAGTTACAGAATAAATTAAATTTTATGTAAGTTAAAGAAGTCTCAACAATTATCATCTCGTCACCGGATAGGTGTGGGAGATGTTTGTCTTACAATACACATAAATCTAACTTGAGTTCTTATGAAAATACTGATGTGGCTGTTTGGAATACTGAGCCAGAGACTGATTGAGGCGATATAACTATCTACTAAGTAGAAGAGAAACGTAAACGTAATTTTTAAAATTGAAGTGACAGCAGTGGCGGGGTGTATACCGCGAACTAAAATAGTTGTGGGTTCGAATCCGTCATTTGACAACTGTTGTGAACCACTCCTAACACAAACACTTTAATCGTACCAGGAGTGGTTGAAAGGACTGTTAGTAACGTTAATAGCTTTGCTAGTATTTTAACCGACTTCAAAAAGGAGGAGGTACTCAATTCAACTGTATGTTTTTTTATGTGTGTTACTCCAGAACTTTTTTCTGGGTGAACCGATTTTGATGATTCTTGGAAAGCTGGTGCTTCTCGTGTGGTATCATATAAAGATCAAAATCTGACCAGTAGTTTGAGTTATCTTTAATAATGCGTAAATTGTCTTCGAATACATTTTTGATGTTCTAATTTTAATTATATTGAAGTCGGTTGTACAATTTTTTTTATTTTACCACTTGTTATATTTAAAATAAAAAATTGGTTTAAATTTCAAACGATTAAATATATTATGTCCAATTTAGTCAACGTTAGATCTAGAGTAATTCACAAAACTTGTGTGTTTTGACTAATAATGCGTATAAATGTTATCATTAAATACAAAGTGTTTTGTGAACTAATTAACAAAAAGTGACGGTGAATTTGCGACATTAAATATGGACATAATTTATATTACAACAACCAGAGAAGACTAAAAATACTATGATTTTGTTCCAAACTACAATATTCTTGTGCAAAAAGTGAAGATATTTCTTTATTATTCGCTTAACATGAAAAGTATTAATCTGACGGTTAATTTTATTCAAATATTGTGATTAAGTGCAAACGAATTTGTACATTTGATTCTACAACTTATGGTCGTTTTTATATAGTTGGTGATTACAACGCCATCTATCAAACTACATTATCATTAAATTTCATCTACCCACGAGTATGCGGAAGAAGTGGAATATAATGCTTAATTTCAATTGTTATTAATGAGCACGCTTGGTCGAACGGTACAAGAGACTTGGTTAGACACCGATACGACGGAGGACCGAGCGTCGAGGCAGACAGAAATATTTTTGTCTTTAATTTTCCAACATAAATACAAACATGGAGCAAAAACAACAAACTCCTTTAAAGAAATGTTGTTTCAAATATAAATCAATAATAGAAAATCCACAGTTAACAATTTGTTCAGTTTGTAATAATATCTACCATATTGACTGCGCAAACATAACTTTCGCTCGTTTTAGAATATGGACAAATGAGACTAAAAAATCATGGAGATGTTTTAAATGCATAAAAGTAAAAAAATGAAGTCCTCTCTCCATCCCTATAAAATGATACTGTGAATATCACAATACGTAAAAAAAGTACTGATGAAACCCTTGAAAGTAACGATATGAATGCTTTTGACTCAGAATCTCCAAACAGCTCACCAAAAACTGGCCAGACACTACTACCTAAAGAAAAATTATTAGTAAAATCAGAACAGAAAAACAGAATTGCCTGTTGAATCATTAAACAATAGTTTCCAATCCTTAGAAGATTTATCACACAGTTTAGAATTAGTAAATGAACTTGATATTGTCAGCAAACAAAATATGAAAATAGATGACTTACAAATTAAATTAAAGAGTTGCGAGTCTGAATTAGACTGTACATTTTTGGAAAATAATGAATTAAGACAACAAGTCACCAAATTGACACAAGAGCTACTTATTATGAAAAATATATGTAAAACCCCACAAATTGTAAAAAAACAGCGCAAGGGTTTGTCCTCAAGTTTTCTTAATAATATGACTCCAGATAAGAAAAAGACAGAGCAAATTTTTGTTTTGGAAAATACAATCGCAAAATTACAAGTCAAGTTAGCTCAAGAAGAAGTAAGAAATCTTTGCACAAAAATCGAAAGTTTAGAAAAGCAATTGAAAGACAAAACAACACCAAAAACTGATTTAGAAATTAATAATTGCACAAAAAATCATGTAAATAAAGATACTAGATCATTACATAAACCATTAAAACATAAATTGTGTATACTCACAAGTGACAAGAGATAAAAAATACTACAAAAAGTAAACAGAAATCATGTTCTAAGTAGTATGAATTATGGCACTTTATTACTACAAATGCTGGGATAGAGATAATTTTAAAAAATATACATAAAAAATTAAAGGACTATACAAAACACGACTACTGTGTTGTGATAATCGGAGAATCGGATTTTAATACCTCAGAAGACTATAAAGGTCCGGTGAAAACAATCAAAACCAGGCTGGAACAAGTGAAAAATACAAACGTAATCGTAGTTTCACCAAAATACATATGTGGAAAGCCATTATATAACTACAGAGACTTTCAATTACCTACTTAATCAGGACATAAATATTAATAAATATGGCTATTACATTGATTCAAACCTGGACTTAACATATGATATGTTTTCACAGTATACTGGTAAAATAAAACAAAATTTAATGCAAAATATTGCCAAACAAATATTATCTCTACAAAAATCGGGTGATGAGAAGCAAATCGACACAAGAAAAGAGAGCTCTATTATCTCTGATGAAAATCAGTTTTTTCTTCTATAATCACTTACATATATTACATCAAAACATATCGGGACTATCGAACAAATGTGATGAGTTAGTATTAAATCTGGATGAGTTAGACAGACAAAAAAAAACTATCGACATTCTATGTGTGACCGAGCACAATATGATACCAGAATTGGAAGAATTCCTTACAATACCTAATTTCAATTTAGCAACCAGTTTTTCAAGAAATAAAAGATGTGGTAGATCATGTATTTTAGTAAGAAATGGATTGAGGTATAGAGGCTAGAGATAGTAGTTGATAATATTAAAAAATTCTCGATTAATTGTATGATAGAGACCTGTGCTGTAGAAATACGTGACCATAACATGATTGTGATATATATTTATAGAGTTCCTAACACAAATAAATCTTGTCTGGATACGTTCTATGATACTCTTAGAGGCATTCTAAATACTATAATAAATACTAAAAATAAAAATATAATTATCTGTGGCGATTTTAACATTAATATTCCGAAAAATACTTCTGTTAGTCGAGAATTTAAAAATCTACTGTTAGGCTATAATCTGAAGCTAGCAATAAAAAAGCCGATAAAAGTTGCAAGTGGAACGTGTATTGACAATTTTGCACATAATATAAGAGGATCAAACAGTGAGGTCATTGAACTAGGCCTTCCGGATCATATGGCGCAAATTTTAAAATGTCCTGTAAAAAAAACATGTATTAATCAATTCGTGGAGTATTAAAAGGAGAGATTTTAGCTATTAAACCTTCAAACATTTAAAAGATGTATTGATAGTCTAAGTTTCCAGGATATATTTAATTCTACGGATCCTAATACATCTTATGATGGTTTTTTTTTGACATATTCAAATGCTTTTATGATCTATGTTTCCCCTATAAAATTATAAAAAATACTCTAAATTCCAAGCAAAAATGGATATCAAAGGGACTTAAGGCATGTTGTAAAAAAGCGGGTTTTACTTTGGCATTTTAGGAGAAAAAAAAGCAAAGATGCTCTATCACTATTAAAGAATATTCATCAAAATTAAGGAAAATAATAAAACACACAACGTTCACAAAATGACAACTACATAAATAAGTCAAAAAAATAAAGTGAAAGCAACTTGGTCCGTTATATATAAATCCAAAACAAATATCCCCAAAGAACCAATACAGAAGCTACGAGTAGGTAATGAATACCTTACTAACCCTACCTACGCATGACTTTACTAATGCGTTTAATGATTTTTTTTTACATGGAAACTGAAAATTGTACTATTGATACTGACATTTCTTCAAATAATAATAACAATAACAATTCCAACAATAATTATAATAATAATGTAAATTTAAGTCATTTATCTCATTTCAATAATATTTACCAATCTCTATTTTTAAGCCCGACAACACCTAACTCAGTGTGTAAAATTATAAATAGTCTAAAAAATACTAATAGTGTTGGTTTTGACGATGTTTGTACAAAAGTAATAAAACATGTAAGCTCTACAATAGCAAAACCTTTGTGTCATATAATTAATTTAAGCTTTACTACAGGTATATTTCCAAACAATTTGAAACCAGCTGTAGTAAAGCCATTATTTAAAAAAGGTGATAAACATATTGGCAATAAATATCGTTCAATTGCATTGCTATCAATTCTCTCAAAAATATTTGAAAAAATTATCCATAGCCATCTTTCCGAATTTTTGGAAAAACATAACATTTTAAACAAAGAGCAAAAAGGATTTCGCACAAATACTACAATCGTAACAGCAATATACGACTTAGTAAAAAGGGCAGTGATTTGTCTAGATAAAAGGATCCCATCATGTGCACTTTATATGGACATGACTAAAGCATTTGACCTTGTAGATCATAATATATTGCTGGAAAAACTAAGCCGTTATGGTGTAAGAGGTAATTCACTCAATTTAATAAAATCCTATTTAACAGATAGGACACAAAAAACCTTAATCAGTCAGATCTGTATCTCTACAAGACAAGAAAAAATATATACGTCTAATAATAGAACGATAAAGCGTGGCGTTCCACAGGAAAGTGTTTTGGGTCCTTTGCTCTTTATAATATACATCAATGATATCGTCGAGTCTTGTAAATACCCAATGATACTATTTGCAGACGATAGCACTATTTTTGTACAGTGTGACAGTGTAGCAGAATATCAAAATAATATTAACTTTGCTATTGAAAACATTATTAAATGGTTAAAATCAAATAATCTTAAAGTTAATCTAGAAAAAAAACAAAAATTATGCAATTTACACAAAGAAAAAGTATTCCAAGTCTAATAATAAGTTATGGAAATAAAACAATTTCTGAAACAAAAGTAGCGAAATTCCTAGGGCTGTTTTATAGATAGCAACATGTCATGGGAATCGCATTCAATAGAAGTCTGCAAAAGAATGTATAAATTTTCATTTGCACTATATAAACTGTCCAAAATAGCTGACCGAAAAACTGTTCTAACAGCGTACCATGGCTTTGTGGCTTCGACCCTGCGATATGGTATCATATTTTGGGGACTATCAACATACAGGGAATTAATTATGAAAGCTCAAAAACAGTGTATTCGAGCTATATGTGGGATAAAGCCTACAGAAAGTTGCATACCATACTTTAGATCTCTTAAGATATTAACATTACCCTGTATTTATATACTAGAATCGTGTATGTATGTAAAGTGTAATCCGGAACTTTTTGATATAGGAGTACAACCATCTTTAGTTAACCTTCGTCCTCGAAAACAAAAAATTCAGACAAATGTATGCAAAACTGCCCTTATGAAAAAAAGTGTTGTTGAAATGGCCCTTAAATTATATAATAAATTACCTGATCACATAAAATGTTATAATGTGCAAAAATTTAAATCTATTTTAAGTAAATTTCTTATAGATGAATGTTATTATAATATCAATGAATTTCTATTTACTAATAATTTAAATATGTAATTTAATAATTTTATTTTGACTCTACTTAATTTTATTATTTTGATTTGTTTTTTATATATATATTCAATTTTATGATGTATGAATATATAAATTCGCAAGCTGTTAAAGCATTGCACGGAGGTACTATAAAATTATTACATTGTCAACCTTGTTACCTGTGAAAACGAATAAAATGATTGATTAATTGATTGAGTACATTGGTGATATCGACCTTCACCCAATTAAGTAGCAAATAAAATATTTTATGTATGGCAGAGCCATGATGCAGTAATGTTGCTACAGCATGAATGAACCAGCACAACTGGGAAAGGACCAAGCTCACACACAACATCAGCATAAATTAGCAGTATTATACTGCTGTGTTTCATATGGTTAGTGAGAAGTGCTGAATATACTTTTTAATAGTACCGGCATCTTATTATTCAAGGGTGATAATTTTCATTTGCATTTAGATTCTTAATCGGAGACTGATTTCACTTACATCTATGGTACATTGCATCCACTTATTATCAGGTAGACCGTGTGCTCCTTTTTAAAACCTCACCTTTACACCTTTACTTGTTAAAAAAATTAGTCATAATATCTCTTACCCACCAAAGCAGCGGCACGCGTGGTGGGGATGCCGAGGTAGTGGCACGCTTCTGAAGCAATCATCTCTCTAATAGACGAGCGAAGAACTGCACGGCCATCGCCAAAGCGGGAATATGGTGTCTCACCGGAACCCTTTAACTGTGGTTGCCATGATTCACCTTTGCTGAAAAAATCTTTTATAAAAAAAAATACAGACTTCACAAAGATATTATTAGTTTCACCATCATCATCATTACAGCCCTTCACAAGTCCACTGCTGAATATAGGCCTCCCCAAGGAATGCCACAAAACATGGTCCTAAGCCAATTGCATCCATCAAATTCCTCCATATCTTGCCAGGTCGTAACTCCCTCTAGTGAGGGTTGCTCTACACTGTTTACTGTATATGGTACTGGTTACTGTTTGCTACCACAAAAATAACCATGTGGTGCCCCCAGCATAATTTGAAAGTCAATCTGAGTTAAACTTCGCTATTTGTGATAAAGAAACATTTTAAAATTAGACCGAGATTATGGCGAGGATTTCCGGCGTTAAAAAGGTTTTAGCGCTCTTTTCTCTGATACATGCATATTTGTTCAGCACAATGTAAGCGAGCGACATTGGTGGAATTTTCTTTATTTTATTTGAAACGTTTTTGTTTATCATCAGGAAATAAAGGATCTAGATATAAATATAGCTGATTAAGAATCTAATTCAATAACATGCAAATTTGTTTACGACGGGCTATTTTTCGCAACTTCACGTCTAAGCGCGTATTTTGCGTGTAAGCAGGAATATTATAATTATTCGAGCCATGAAATCTCCCCGAAAAAGTTCAACAGTCTTCTGCTGTTGCGAGCATTTCGAACATTAGATTTAAGATACTAGCAGCTAAGTCGTGGTAGCTCAAGGGCTAAGCGTTCGCTGTAAATTTCACAGTACGCGAGCAGCCCGGGTTCGATCCCCGCCGGCACCAATGGAATTGTTAATTGCAATTTTAAATGCCGATTTAGCATGTGCTCGGCTGTGAAGGAAATCATCGTTAGGAAATCTGCATGTCTGAGAAATAAAACAAATATTTTTCGGAGACATGTGAAGTCCTCCAACACGCATTGGGGCCGTGCGGCGGACACTTCCTTGACCTAAAACTCTTTTAGAAGTGAGAGGAAACCTTCGCCTAGCAGTAGGACGTATATAATGTCTTCCAGACCGAATTTCGGTCACGGCGGCCAGCTTCAACAGAGACTAGCCATCGGCGCAGGACAGGTATAGTGCCCAAGTGTATGCGCAAGCAAAGGTGCACTCTCTATTCCCTCACTCTCATAATCCAATGGGACGGTAAACCGACACGACCGGAGAGATCAGGCGCAGGACCAACGGCTTTACGTGCTTTCCGAGGAACGGGACACCGCCAACTTCCTGGCCCCGGGCAGCTACTGAGAATTTCTTGACGGAAAACCTCAATAATTGATTTTTTAGCCCGACCCGGGATTCGAACCCAGGACCTCATGATCAGCAGCCGCAATACTACAATCACTAGACCAACGTGGGACTTATATAGGCTGTAACTGTAAGTGTGGCATAATCAGTTACTAAGAATACCCTTAAATTTATGTACCTGTTAATATACTCTCCAAGGATATGAGCTCTTCCATCACCTAGCTGATCAGCCCAATATCCAAACTGATATCCACCGTATCTGAAATACAAATGAAACTTATAAATTTACAAAAAAACCTATTTCCAAAACACCTATCAGCTTTTTAAATCTCTGTTGCATAAAGATCCTTTTACAAATGCTTGCCAATGTCAACAGGCTTGTACAACTCGAAAGATTTTAGCAAGCGAACAAAATCTCTATTTATATAAAAAATAAATTACTGTCCATTAGTCTCGCAATAATTCGAAGTGAGTCCCTGGATGGGCGAAACCGGGGCCGTTTGCTAGGTATTGATAAAAATCCACATAAAAAAACATAATATCTGTCTTAAAATATTGACATTACAAGAAATCTATATTCCGAAAACATGTTCAGGATTGCGCCCTTTATTCCATCAGATTTGATAGGCGACAAATTCTTAAAAGAACACCAAATGCCTACCAATATTGATTCTAAATGCTATTTTAATTAACTAACATCCTAATTACAATTCAGAAGATGTTTTTACCAATCCGAACATCTCAGGGCCTTATAACTATGGCTGCAATAAAGCTCTGTACATATCTATCTATATATCTAAATATTGATATCTTATATATAATGAGTTAAATATAAAGATGATAATATATATTTCCACAATTTTTTTAAAAAAAAAGGACAGCTTTTAGTCCAAAGAGTAAAACCTTTTATATATTTCTTCCAACAGGCAGCAGTGCATGCATTGATAAAATAAGGATGCCAAACAAGCACACAGTCTACCTGATAGTAAAAATGGTGCTTTACGTGGTAGAGCCACGCTGCAGCTATGTTATAGTTATAGCACAAATGGGTGATAACGTATTTGCATTTTGATTCTTAATTGAGGATAAATGTGGATGACTATGGGCCTCAGCATCCACTTACTATGAGGTGGACTGTGTGATGGTTTGTCACCCAATGCTTTAAAAAAAAAGTTCTCAACATTCACCATACGAAACACAGCAGCATTAAGCTACTATTTCACACTGTTGTTCTGTGAGACTGTGATCTTTCCCTAGTCAATTCGAGCCATTTATGCTACAACCATAATGTAGCTGCATCATGACTGTACCATGTAAAAAATGCTGCATTCCGATCTGAATGGTAAAGATAATATAATTACAGACTGTCAGGTTTTCCATCTTAGTTCCTAGAAGTTACCACGCATCTGTAGCCTTCTTGTTATAACCACGCATCTGTAGCCTTCTTGTTATAACCACGCATCTGTAGCCTTCTTGTTATAACCACGCATCTGTAGCCTTCTTGTTATAACCACGCATCTGTAGCCTTCTTATTATAATTTGGCTGCATAAGTCCATGGACTGGAGTAGTCACATGCCATCAGTACATAAAATTTCATTCATCTGATGATTTCTAAAATATAAAATATGCGGAAATACCTATGACAAACAGTGAGCCCTCCGTTTGGCAAATACTTCCCAGCAACAAAATCAATAAACTCTTCAGTTTCCGCAACCTCTGGATGTAAGTCTAAGATGTCTGTCATAGCATCTTCCGATGTACACACTAGGTGAAGTTTCCCAATGAGAGGTTCTGTGGGTACCTGTTAAAGATATAAAAGGAAATTTAAAAACTTAAATGTGATAAAAATATAAAATAATAATTTTCTTGCTTGCACATTACGCAGCAGTGAAGAACCACATTTAATTACTTAAGTCACTTTTTTTTGTGTGGGAGAAGATACTTCAGAGTTATGGCAAATTGCCATTCAAACTTTATAATAGTTAGGAAATTAAATAGCATATACAATATGTAACATATTTAACGCACACCCTCAGACACCGCAATTAGTATATTATGTTTTAATGATAATACATACACTGAATTTTTAGTTAAACATTTTTATGCACTGATTATTTATCAAATTAGTTATACTGATTCTGGAAGAATGTTGTGGTCACAATACAAATTCACGAACGCAAAGACTTAACCCTTAAGGTACCGTGGACATGTTAACATGTCCACGTTTTGTGACCGCTGAGTACCGAGGACATGTATACATGTCCGCATTACGTGCTGCTATTTTCGTCATTAATTGATATAAAAATACAGTATATTTTCGATTGAACACTATTTCATTCGATTGTGAACGAACTAAAGAATATTCTGAAGAATTATATTCACTCGGTTACAAAGACAAAATCAAATATAACAGCCATTCGCCTTTGCATACCGGTACGGTTAGTTGCGTAATCGTTGAAGTTTTGTGATTGTGATTTTAGTTGGATTTTCTTTCAAAAAAACTGTAAGTAATGTTATTTATCTTTACTACGTAATGTTTTTGAATGATTTAAGTTACAACAACAGTAACTTTTTATGTTTCAATTGATAAAAAAGTAGAAATATAAAACCTCTACGCGAACAATTCATAACGGTCAAGATTTCTATTAAGATTCTAATAAAATAATAATAGTATATTTCTTATTGGAATACCACAGTAAATACTTTGACTAGGAATCGCTAAATGTTATATCTATATGATTGTATAAGAAAAATAAAGGAAGACGATATAAAATATATACACAAAAGTAAATAGTAAAGTAAAAAGTAAGTGTAAACTCATTTTCAAAGCAAGCGCTAACTGTCTATTGTCGAATTTTTAGCAAATGTTTGCAAGTGAAAAAGTAGAATTATTATAATTATTACGTGCATAATTTCGGTTCATTTAGGAAGAATATGTTGTATTGATTGTAAGGACATAAAAATAAAATAAAAACTTACGATGTTTCATTCATAAAATAAAATTTATCGTCAGTAAGTACACTTTATCAAGATCGGTTAGAAACAAAGAGCTGTACAAAGTAAAATAAACATTTATATGTTATGGTTATTATTTCTACTTATCAAAAATCTTATCGGCTTCAAATAACTGTAACTAAAATCTCTTTAAACATAAACGAAAGGTCGTGAGAAACATAAGTGTTTATAACGAGTGCCGCCAGCTGAGGTGACGACAGAGGCCGCGGTACAAAGCTCTGTTTTTTGTTATGGCGGGCGCGGCAAGGGAAAGGTTAACAGAACTAACAGGCTCGAAATAAAGTTCATTTTTCTTTATTTTTATTGAATGACAGAATTAGTAATAATACAAATAAAACTGCACTCTTAAAAGTCTTAGCCTTAAGTTACGGTCCATTTCAGTTTGTTTTGACTGTACAGATTTAATGTGACTGTAATTTACGTAGTTTCAATCATTTTTGGGATAAAAAATTACCCATATTAAAAATGATAGGAATCGATTCAGTAAACGATTCTGAACAAACTATTTTCTCAAAGTGCGTTAATTATGTTACATGTTGTATAAAATGGTGATGTAAAAATATCCACTACCCCATATCATCCCGTGGGTGTCATAAGAGGTGACCAAGGGAAACAAATCAGGAGATGGGCAGCACCATCTTCCTAATTAGAGATGGGCCGAATATTTGTTTCTTATTCGATGTTCGGCATATTAGGCAGGTTTACCGAATATTCATATTCGGCCGAGTATTCGGTTAAATCATAGAACATTCATTAAAGTAGTATACTCAGTGTCCCTTGTATTGAAATGTATGGATTGAGTAATGCCATGTCATTCATAATTTTACTGTTGAAAATATATTTTATTTATAGGTTAAATCTACTTGTATAGCGTTATGTTTTTGAGGTACTGTAGATTTATTTTCAACTATAGCAAATAGAAAGCTTGATAAAATGTTTTTGGAATCAAACAAAGAAACATTACATTAGTCAGTTTCTTTAAAATAAATCCAAATAGTAGATTTGCCACTCATTTTATCAATTTTCACTAAGAATAACACTATGAAAATTTGTTTCGTACAAAAATAGTCAAAGCATGTGTGCCGGCAATTTGCTCAGCACAAGATGATGATACAAAGGCATGTCAGGTGTGGCGAGGGAGTGAGTGGCAGAGTTCGACGCTAGTCCCGCGCGCTTTACGGTAACAAGTTTCGACAGAAATTGGTTAGGTACCGAGGTGATCCTGCCGAATAAAGTTTGGATGAATATTCGGTTCAGTAAAAGTTTTACCTGGTAAATCTTTCCAATATGGACCATCGATTTCAAAGCCCATATTTTTTTTGTAGATAGTACTCACTAAAAAGAAAGCGTTTTGCAAAGTTTTAGGTTGCGGAAACTTACGGTCCATGAGATATATTTTTTTAAACTTTTCATACAAATTGGCAAATAACACGCAATTACACCAGTTACACCAATTAGCTTGCTACATATTTATTTATCTATGAATTACAAAATGAATTTGACAAATCATTGATGTCAAACGTCAATTAGTGTAGGGTTCCGAATATTTTGAAAGTATCGATACGTACTCGATACCAAGTATCGTATCAAAAGTATCAATACTACTTGGTATCGAGTACATTTCGTTAATTTTGGAGACTAGGGGGGGGGTAAGAAGCCGGGAAGTTGTGCTCCGGCGCTCCGTGGCAGCTCCGGCGCTGCGGGATGAGCAGTGCCTCCGCCCTAGCGTAGGGAAGCACAGGCACCTGGGCTCGCCTTCGCAGCTTCGGCTTTTTGGTCGCCTTCGGCGACCAGCCTCAGCCGCTACGGCGATCTCGGTGCCTGCGCTTCCCTACGGCGGGCGGGCACTGCTCTCCCTCCGCGCCTCCGGGCTCTTATATACACTCTAGGGGTAGGGCAGACAAGACCACGTGGATAGTGGGGTGCTCTGATTCGGTTTTGGGTACTTTTTGAATATTAAATAAGTAAGTAAACACTTTATTGTAGTAAGAATTAGATAATACAGAAAGTTGCAAACAATAAAATAAAAGCACAAAAGCTGTACTAATTAAGAACCACAAACAAGTTGCAAACAATAAAATACAAGTACTAAGGTGGAACTTAAATAGAGTAAACTTTATTCTACTTTATATACATATATAATTGCACTTATCAGCTCTTCCTATGCATCTAATTGGTTTGTCATAATTTTTCGTCTCCAAAATTAACGAAATGTACTCGATACCAAGTAGTATTGATACTTTTGATACGATACTTGGTATCGAGTAGGTATCGATACTTTCAAAATATTCGGAACCCTACACTAACTGACGTTTAACATCAATCATTTGTCAAATTTATTTTGTAATTGCGTGTTATTTACCAATTTGTATGAAAAGTTTAAAAAAATATATCTCATGAACCGTAAGTTTCCGCAACCTAAAACTTTGCAAAACGCTTTCTTTTTAGTGAGTACTATCTACAAAAAACATATGGGCTTTGAAATCGATGGTCCATATTGGAAAGATTAGCCCCGAACTTTCGGCCGAATATTCGTATTCGGTGAAATCCATGTATGGCCCATCCCTATTCCTAATAATGACTAAAAATTAAAAACTGCAGTTGCCAAGTGAGGCAACTATGGCAAATATCCCCCTACGAGGAAAACTATTGGGGAAGCCTATGTTTAGCGTTGGAGTTTAATAGGAGGTTATAATACTATATAAAATAAATGCAACTAAGACTTAATATTTGGGATAGCTCAATTTCTTCACTAATAAACTTGATGAAGGGACTGCATAATTTTTATATAACTGCCTTAAACTCTACTAATCAAGCTTTAAAATTTTCTTCCTAGTAACATCTCCCATCCTATAAATCACAAGTTCTGCCAAAAATATAATTGAACATGTATGTCCTAATCTTATTCCAAATAATTGATATGATATGCATAACATAAATTCTATTTATTTTATTCGAAAAGTTATGTTTTGGAAAAGTCAGTTTTAAGTTTCTGCATAGTTTATATGCCACTATGACTTGGCAGCCAATCAAAATTTTATATTAATGACACAGAATATTAATTTACTTAGAAATGATATGATGTAACTGTTTCACCAGTAGATATTGATCTGATTAATTTTCCTATAGAGCAGTATAGAATAAAATCATATTATATGAGAAACATATTTGTGAAATTACAACTAAGAACATATTATTAACTTATTTGGCTGAAGGAGGAAGGAAAAGGGGAGATCTCCCGCCGGCCAAGGTGTTCTGCCCGGGGAGCGGCCAACACTCCGTGTGATACTTCGGAGCTATTCTATATAATATACTTTACTTCGGAACATTGATAGCGCGATTTAGGCTTCAATGTGTTTTGCTTGCGGTGCGACAACAGCACCGCCACATATGTATTAAAGAAACATTATTATTATCAGACTGCAACAGGCCACTGTTAGGCATAAAGCATATTATATGTGGACCGATTTCAGCAGTAGGTTTAAATGATGAAGATTTGAATAATAATAACATAGGTGGTTGAATATGTATAGATATTATTATAATCGGGGACCAAACCTCTACCAAATAAAACACCTTACTCCCCCAAATTCCTACCAAACGATTCTAAATCCAACCCACATAGGTTATGAATAACATTAAAATAATATGAGTAGTCACCAGAAAAAAAAAACATAAAAAAGCTTGCCTTAGAAAATACAGAATTTTTCACGGCAACAGGTACGTTATATTTTGGTTCATCACTAATAGGCAGTTCGGCATAATTTGGAGGATAACGAAACTTCCACTGCTTTAGATCTCGTATCAGTTTTCTCTCACGGTCAACCATAATAGATCTCTTAACCTTTAACAAGGAAACACAAATTGTTCTACTCATGAGCAAAGCGGCGTTTATAAGTAATTTTATAGCTAAAGTTGATAAATAATCGTGATAAACGACTTTGATCAGATTCTGTTAAGTCATCCTATCTTGTTGATATAGGAATCAAAATAGCTTCTTACTACTTTATGGCTTTGTGTAAAAAGCATATATAACCTCTATAATTACGTTTAATGTTTGCTTTTAACACTATAATTACGTTTTTATTGGGATAACTTTGTGGTTGTGTTTTTATTTACTTCTGCTTTTCTCAATTTTGACAATGACTTTGGATATGTTCCAAAATAGTGCCAGTACCAGCGTTGCGACTGTAAAAAATTGAGTTGCCGTATCTAAAAACGAAAATTGCCGTATTTATGAAAAAATCCACGAAATTGCCGTAAAGTATTTATTTCTACGAGTAATTAAATAAATCACATAAAATCTGAAATTTCTTCACCATATAGGTTTCTGATTGATTGAAAACATCACTCGTTTGTCTATGAAAACATCACTCGTTTGTCTATGTAATTAATATTTTTCTTTGCTTTTCATTTTCTTACACATATCATTTGACATTTGAAATTTCGTACAACCTCCTTGATTTTTAACCGCTTGTCTTGCTAATAGAGCTCCGTTGACAGTGGATGTTATCAATTTATTTCTGGATTTTGTTTTCATATTGATTACTTCACTGAAAACTCTTTCGCAATCTGCATTGCTATGTTGTAGATAGACATAATACGTCTAAAGCAAAATTTGCTAATATTTTGTAGTCTGTAGTATCTTAGAGACATTTGCCCAAAATTCATGTTTTTATTTCTAATTCTGAAATTTTGTTTACATTTGGTAGCAACCTCCACTCGTCATCAATTCGTTGCTTATCTGATCTCACAATTCGTGGCAATTGCTGGGCCAGTGGCGACAATGACGGAAAACAACTATGACGTCTTTTTCCTTTTCGCGTGTTTTGAATTAAGAGTTTAAGCTTTTTGTAGAAAGTGCAGCCATTCCAACAAAGCCAAATTGGATCCAAGTTTAATTTACTGCCAGAGTAAATATTACAAAAGTACCGTACACATCTTATAGTTCGTAATGTTGTACATTCATTCAATAATATAAACAAAGTAAACACGTGTATCTCTTACATTCATTACTTCTATCAATGTCTACCATGTGTCATGTTTATGCCATCTTTGTTAGTCTCATAAAATAAAAGATGGAACGGTAATTTCCCGTCATAGACAACCACACTCTTTATTATCACTTAAGGGATGACGAAAGTGAAAAAAATATTGATATCAATACAGGTATTTATATTTTTTGTTCATAATTTGCCATCGTGGTTTATCGCAAAGCTGAATTGCCGTAATACTTGATACGGCAATGAAAAGCCTGCCGTATGCCGTATAATCACACACAGTATATGACGTCATACATGTGGGTCATATCGGAAAAGTGTTAGCGATCAATTTGTCATTTTGTGCTCCAAAAATCATTATATCCTCCTAGTGGATATACCAACAATTATTCTATAATTTTTTTCTATTTGAATAAATAAAAACAAATTCTGGCATCGTAAACAGAGAACTGTTTACGTCTGGCATGCTTCATTCAGCACACACACAATTAAAAATTGTTTTATTATGGCCGGATATCCGACAAAATATGGCAGCGGCACGCCAGTACAATATAGTATCAATTCAAATCAAATCAAATCAAATAATTTATTTGTAAAACATAGGTAAAAAGTTACAAACTTGGTGGAAAAGGAATGATAAGTAACACTAGGTTTCGCCTACAAACGCATACAAATATTTGTTTATCACTATCACCTGGCAATATGAAAATTAATTTTTAATAAAATAACAATTTCAATTATAATTAGTATGTTTAGAAATAAAATTAATTTTTATCTTAATTATCAATTACATAAATATAAACATATAATAAATAAATCGTCCATTAATTATTGTAGGTACTAAAAACCATTCATTTTATCTTCAAAGTATTCGTTGATAGAGTAGTATTCTTTATATATTAAAAAAACTCGAAAGCAATTTCTTAAATTTGTCTATATTATCAGTTTCTTTGATGTTTTTTGGGAGTTTATTAAAAATTTTAGGAGCCATACCCAGGAAACCTTTTGAATACAGGGCTGTTTTATGAGGTTTGGTCCTATGCATAGATAAATAAATATGTAGCAAGCTAGTCCTATGTCGTTTATTATTAGCGTTTTCAAATATGTTAAAATATTTTCTTATAAACATAGCTACTTCGAATATATATAAAGATGGTAGGGTCAGAATGTTAAGATCAATGAAATGCGGTTTGCAACTATCGGTAATCTGCAACTGACATACTCCTCATAAACATTTCTTTTGCGCTTTAAATACTAGTTCGCGTTTTGGAGAATTTCCCCAAAATATTATAACATGTCTCTATGTTGAAGAGACGTATGCATGGTAGGCGGTTATGACTGTTACACGATTTATAATTTTTATAAGGTTATGTAGTGCATAGTGGAATTGATTTATCTTTTTAAGCTATTGCATAGCTTCTATTGCGGGCCTTGAGCGCGGGGACCGAATCCAGAAATTCCGTAACGAAAAAACCTCACGCTCCACACTCCGACGGGCACGGAGGTGTGGCTTGAAGGCCGTGCATTGTCTAACGTCGTTTCTTTTCGGCAGTCTTCGACACGGTGTTTGTGTGCGTGCAACTAGACGTATTGTACGACTCTACGAAGCTCGCACGAATCGAGACGAGCTGCTCCGAAATCGGACGAATACATAAGCAGCTGTTTATGAGAAAGTATATAGGTGTATAGGTATTTATGTACAACAGTGAATAGCTGTACTTGTAAAATTTGTGTATAAAGTGTTTTGAATATGAATGAACAAAGTGCATTTATTATTTATTTATTTAATAAAAGAAAAAAAATTGTTTTTTTTTTTCTTATCGATCACCACGCTCAAAAAGTGTAACTTGAATTAATATCAAAGAAAAAGAAATACTGCGTAAATAAAATAAAATAAATAATTATAATTGCATAAGTTGATACAAAATGCTATACAATAGCTTTACCGCGGCAGTCCCCGAGTGCCACACGTCTTTTTTTATTATGTGTTCAATATGCTTACTGCATGTCACTTTTTCGTCCAGCCAAATTCCCAGAAATTCTGTGTGTTCTATTTCGTTTATGATTTTAGTTTTATAGTTAATATTAAGTTTTGGTTGTTTTTTTTTCTTTGTTTGAATGACATAATATGCGTTTTATCCAAATTAATTTTAAGACTATTGTCATTCAGCCAGTCTATTATCCTGTATATATTCTGATTTATGTCCGATTCAATTGAGACCTTGTCTCGTCCTGTGAATAAAACTGTGCTGTCATCAGCAAATAAGGTCATAGGGTGCTGAGTCACCTGGGGCAAATCATTGATATATATTAGGAATAGTAATGGACCGAGTACGCTTCCTTGCGGCACAACGTAGGTTGTTTGCTTTTGTTGCGAAAGGTATGTTATTTCAATATTAGTACAAAGACAGATCTTTTTTATTTTAATAATTTGTTTCCTATCATTCAGGTATGAAATAATAAGTTTTAACACATTACCTCTGATTCCATATTTTTCCAGTTTAAGCACTAAGATATTTAAATTTTCATAATTTTTCCAGTTTAAGCACTAAGATTCAAACGCCTTGGTCATGTCCATGAACAAGGCGGTTGTTGGTGTACGATTATCCATACCGGAGATCACTTTTTCCATAAATCCATACATGGCCATATTTATGTTTTTACATTTTCTAAAACCATATTGTTCGTTTGCTAAGATTTTATTAACTTCCAAATAAGAATATAATTTGTTATATATTACTTTTTCTATTATTTTGGAGAATGTTGGAAGCAAAGCGACAGTCCTGTAGTTTTTAGGGTATTGTCTGCCTCCTTTTTATATAAAGGATTTATAACGGATATTTTTAAACCACTAGGAAAAGTACCATTTTCTATACATAAATTCACTACATAACTTAGAACTGGGGAAATTTCAACGTCCACTAACTAAACTACTTTTGTAATTATATCATCATTACCAGCACTGTTAATATTTTTTAATTTATTAATTATTTTACATAAATCGTGAGGAATACATGCAGGCATAAACATTGAATTCAGTCTACTACTTATGAATGAGTAACTTTGGTGATTATTACTAAACTGGTTTATGGGCTGGACTTCATTTATAAAATAATTATTAAATTCCTCAGCAATTTTTTCGGGATCATATATTTATTATTAAAATTAATTTTTGTAATATTATCTTTAGGTAAGTTGTATTTATTCTTATTTATCACTTTCCATGTGGCTTTTGTTTTATTCTCCGCATTGTTGATATAATAACTATTGCGCGATTTTTGCTTAAACTTTAAGCTTTCTCTTATTTTCCTTAGTAGGGTGTAGTCGAGAATACCATAGTATTTCTTATTTACGTTTACAACACAAGTTAATACCATCAGTAACCCAAGTAAGTTTTCTATTTATAAGAATTTTAATTTTAAGTGTCGGAAAGCAAAAATCGTAATAGTTAAAATAATTCATTGAATTCATTAAACGCTTCATTAGGATCAAGACATTCATAAACACTATTAAAACTGAGACTTCTGATGGCATTTTTTAATTTATTTAAGTTTTCTATGCTGTAATCCCGTGTTAACATGAACCAATGAGAGATAGTGTATGTTTTGTTAACAGGACATTTTAAGACTTGAGCAGTATCAATCAATTGATGACATCATTTGTATTCGGCAGTATACTGAAAACGTTTCGGAACATACCCTTTATGTGTAGTGACATTACTTGGCAGATTGATTTAGATCATACAGCCTAGTCGGATATGTAATTTTATTGACTAAGTTCAACTGCCAATATCATTATTTTGCACGAATTCTTCTCTCGCCACATTTCT